CATCCCGCGGGGCCGGGGCCGGGGCCTTGGAGGGCGGGGTGGACGGTCTGCTCGGGCCGTGCGACTGGAAGTGGCTTTGTGTGTGTTTCCTACTTTCGCGTGGGAAAGTGAAAGGCTCACCCGGCTGGGCTGGGCTGGGCTGCAGTCCGTGGCTGCTACCTGAATTCAGAGGCTGCGGTCCCAGCACTCCAGGAGGCTGAGGCAGGAGGATCTCAAGTTCCGGCCCAGCCTGGTTCGTGAGTTTGCGAGAGCCTGTGTCCCATTAAAGGCAGGGGTGACTCGGGGCTCAGGGAGAGGTAACAGGGCCCGAGAGGTCCCCGATTACTGTGTGACAAGGGTCTCCTATGATGCAGGAGGCAGGGACAGAGACACACAGGGGTTGCAGGGCGGGCCAGAGGCGTGTCCTGCCTCAGCCTCCCGGGGTTCTTGGGGACGCATCCAGCCGGGGACAGCTGCGGGGGCCCCAGGTCACATGACCCTGCACGTGGCCTTTCTGTGTCCTCGGGGCAGAGCCCGGCACCCACTCTGTGGCCACCGGGGGGCCGAGGCCATCGCAGGACACCGACCGCAGGAGGAAGAGGGTTTCTTTCGAGCGCTATCTGGGGCCGCCCGGCCTGCCTCGGCTCTGGCAGCGGCCCTGTGCCCGGGCACAGCCGCACCCTGAGGCCCAATCTCGGCCTTTGTTTAAAAAAAGAAAAAACCACAGAATCGGTGCCGGGGCAAAGGGCACCTGGGAGGCCGAGGCAGTAGGGTCCCAGGTTCCAGCCCAGCCGGGCCACGTGCCCAGTCAGCCAGACCCCGTCTCAAAATAAAGAAAACAGAAAGAGAAAAGCAGAAGTGGGCGAAGTCACATTTCCAGGTCTAAAAATGTTTCCACAACGAAGGTAAACAAAACCCAAAAACGAGCGACCGAAAAACGGGAATTTCCCCAGGATTATTTTTAGGAGTTATCCTGACCCCCGGGAAAAGCAAGCCCAACGCGAGGGCGGTCCTGCGGCCTGGCCTGGCTTAGTGAGCGAACCTGTGGACCCTGGTAACCGACAATGATAACGGCAGTTGGAAAACAGCAGGTTTTCTCCACCTCGCCCGAGGGAGGGGCTGGAGCCCTAACCTCGGCAAGCTGGCGATGGGTCTTCTGTGTTTTACTTTTGTGGGTTTTTAAAACACTTTTATGCTATTGTATTTATGTGGGTCGTTTGAGTCAGGGTCTTGCTGTGGAGCCCAGTCCGGCCTGGAACTCGCAGCGATCCTCCTGCCTCAGCCTCCTGGGTGCCGGCTGTGCGTGGAGAACCCAGGAGACCCTGAGCCCGGCCCTTGCCCGCAGAGCCTGCTGCGCCCATCGGAAGCCTCCGGGTGGAGCCGGACAGCCGCAAGCTGACCTGGGACGTCCTCGGGAACCTGTCGGGCATCGAGTGCTCCAAAGGCGCCAGCATCTTCCGTATGGTAAACCGAGTCCCAGCACCCAGCCCAGCTCCGTGCGGTGGACGCACACGAGGGTCAGAGCCGCTGGACCCCGCTGCTGACCCAGCTACGGGTGGGAGCGGATCCCACTCTTGGGCGTGGGGCGCCTGGCCAGGGACACTTCGAGTCTGGAGCTGCAGGCCCCAGGCCCAGGTGTGGGCGGCGCCGGCTCCTCCCCAGGCCTCGCTCCGGGCTCCTGTGTCCTCACACGCGCGTCCCTCCGTGTGTGTCCACGTCCTCCCGGCCTCTTCTCCGAGGGACCCAGTCCCGTGGGGTCGGGGCAGCCCCGGGGACTCAGTTTACCTCCACAGCTCTTTAAGGCCCTGTCGCAAATCACAGCCACAGCCTGAGATCCTGGGGTCGGAGGGTCAATCGACAAACATCCAGAGCCATGAAACCTCAGGTGGGCCCTGTCCACCCACAGGTTCGGCACTTGTAGGGTCAGGGCTTCCGTAGGGACTCGGGGAGGACACGAGGTGAGGTTGGATTCTCAATGTGCCACAAAGGCCAGGGTCCATCCGGGCGGTTAAGATCGACACGTTCCTCCTGACCGGAAAGGCGTGCAGGAAAACAGGAGCCGTTTGAGGACCCTGGACCAGGGGCCGGGAGGGCTGCTCAGTGGTCAGCGTCTTGTCAGAGAGAGAACATCCAGCCAGGCGTGGTAGGGCAGCAGGGGCGCACACCCGTAATCCCAGCACTCGGGAGGCTGAGGCAGGAGGATCTGCAGTCTGAGCTCAGCACGCGTCCTCCTGACCTCGGCCAGCTGCCTACCATGAGAGCCACAGGCGCAGCCCCGCCCACGTCGAAGCCGCCTTCCTCGCCCTCCCATCCCCCTTGCCCCAAACCCTTGGAGAAGCAGCTCCGCTTGTCAGTCTGTTTCCGTTTTCATTACCTCTTGGACAGTGCTGCAAATTCGAATCCAGGTCTCTGCGTGTGCAAGGCAAACGCGCCAGGGCTGCGTGAGGCCCTCCGCCCTTGTCATACTTTACTTGGAGGCAAAGTCTGATTGAGTTGCCCAGGAGGGCCTTGAGCGCGAAACCCTCCTGCCTCGGCCTCCTGCGGAGCTAGGATGACAGATATGCGAGGCCATTTCACAGCTCCTTGCAACGGGAGGGGGTTTTACCAAGGGTTTTGTAGAAGTCACGTTTTCTTTTTTTTGAGACCGGGTCTCCCTGTGTAGTCGAGACTGACCCAGAACTCACTATGTAGCCCAGGCTGGTCTCGAACTCACAGCCATCCTCCTGCCTCAGCCTCCCGAGCGCTGGGATGACAGGTGTGCGCCACCACGCCCAGCTGTTTTCCGTTTCAGGGTTTCACCCGTATAAAGTGTTTCTCTTCAGAACATCAGCAGGGACCACTGTGTGTGGAAACGCGTGTTTAGGGTTGGAAGGTTCTGAAAGAGGCGATTCTCTTAGCATGTGATGTTCTGTGGCTTTGGCTGGACCCCAAGGTCTTCCGGGATTTAGCTGAAGTCGGCCATTACGATTGTTATTGCTGTTATTTCGAGACAGGGTAAGGCTGTGCAGTCCAGGTGGCCTCGAACGCTTGGGTAGTCCACGGTGGTTTCGAACACATGGGGATTCTCCTGCCTCAGCCTCCCGAGTGCCGTAGTCCCAACTGTGCGCCACCGTGCCTGGCGGCCCAGATGCTGTGGTCCCTCCCTGGGGTCACCGCTGCTGGTCAGTGCCCCGCCGATCCCGCCAGAGGGGTCCAGCGTCCATCCGCTCCGCGTTCTGATTTCTGCCTCAGGCGTATGAGAACAAGCTCTGCCACTTCGAGACGATGTCCTTGTGCACTGTGACAAACTACACGGTCAGGGTGACGCAGCCGCCGTTCTCCAGTTGGATTCTCTTTCCTGAGCCCGGTGAGGGAAGAGGAGAGGTCGCGTTGGCCTCGCGGCCTCGGGGGGCTCGGTCCGCGGTCGGCGGCCCCGGGGTC